ATGTGGTGTTTTTTTTCATCGAAAAACTACTTCGTACTGAATAGACTCTTGTGAAATTGTAGTTCTTGAAAAAATAGTTAAATTTTAATTTGAGATAAAATGATCTTGACCTCCATATCTGAAAACATATCAAAGTGCACATTTTGTTACGCAACAAAATCATATTAGATGATAAAACAGTACCTATTTACAACAAGATCACGATATTTTTTTTATAGAAAATCGTTTGATTAAACACAGCATAGTGTGACTGTCGTTTTGGTTTGATTTCGTTATTTTGGTAATGTTATATTTTAACATTTCATTTTGGTAAGAACTGGATCATTCCGTACTATACCGATAGGGATAACCGGCAAGGGTGCGCGTAATGAGCAACTTAATCATTTCAATCGGCCTGACAAAAGAAAACTTCGGTCCAAATGATTCCAATCAAGGAAAATCATATATTGCAGTTTATAGATTTGTCCACAATTCGGATAAGTTTTGCTTTCAAATTCAAATATAAATAAAAAAAAATTACTGATACCAAAAGTGATGAGTTAACTAAATCCCTGATATATCTACCGTTACGTATATCCTAACGAAAGTCAATAATCCAACAGCTCCACAAACAGGCCTGGCATGTTAAGCTGTTTGAAAGTGGAAGGGGATGCACCATTGTGGAGATTGGGTGTCTAAAATGTACAATCCCTCCACGTTATGAATACCTTGTGTCGTTTTACGACTCTAGACGACCTCCACGTTCCCTCCATGCGGTTCAATGGCGGATTAGCGGTGTAGTGTGGAGTCACGTTCCACCGTAGATTGCTGGTGGGGGACTGAACGTGGAGTCACGGTGGCGGGCAAAAAAAACACCACCGCGAAACGTGGTGATCGTATGCCTCCACGCGGTGTGTAGCGTACAAGTGGCTGAAGGAACATCTTTAGAAAGCCACACAGTGCAAGATAGGACCGACATGTTTTTGAAAGCCATACAGTGCCAGATAGGACTGACATCGTTAAGAAAGCCACACAGTGCAAGATAGGACTGACATGTTTGGAAAGCCATACAGTGCAAGATAGGACTGACATGTTTGGAAAGCCATACAGTGCAAGTTAGGACTGACATGTTTTAAAGCGATACAGTGCAAGATAGGGCTGACATCGTTTAGAAAGCCATACAGTGCAAGATAGGACTGACATGTTTGGAAAGCCATACAGTGCAAGATAGGACTGACATGTTTGGAAAGCCATACAGTGCAAGATAGGACTGACATGTTTAAGAGGGCCATACAGTGCAAGATAGGACTGACATGTGTAGAAAGCGATACAGTGAAAGATAGGACTGACATGTTTTAGAAAGCCATACAGTGCAAGGTAGGAATGACATGTTTAGAAAGCGATACAGTACAAGATAGGAATGAGATGTTCAGAAAGTCATACGGTGCAAGATAGGAATGACATGTTTTAGAAAGCCATCCAGTACAAGATATGACTGACATGTTTTAGAAAGCCATCCAGTACAAGATAGGAATGACATGTTTAGAAATCCATAAAGTACAAGCAAACAGTATCACGCCGCAAAAAAAGGATACCAAAAAGCAGCCATTGGCACAAAATATGAAACAGAAATAAAATTGAGCTTTAACATTTTTAAAATAATGTATAATTGTGAACCTCGGCCATGTTTTCTATACATTTTGTACTGCCAGAGTCATGCGCTGTCCCTCCATTGCTCTTCGCACGATTTACATGAAGTGCTTGTAAATATTCTCTTGTTAGCAACCGTTGGAAATTTGAAGTATTACAAAACAAAGGTTTAATTGGAACCTTTCCCTTTACGTTGTATTCCTCCATATGGTTTGCAAAACTTTAGATACAGAATTTCATTATTTTGACCTGAGGTACTACTGATGGTTCCTAAACAAACAAAAGTCGACAGTAGTTTCCTTTTCGCGTTGCGCCATATTAACATCAAAAGCGGAAATAAGGGAAGCTTATTTAATATTGAGAAAAAACAGAGGTAATCTTTTAAAACCTTGCTTGCAATGAGACAGGGGAACAAGTATATGTATATGGGAGTGGTAATACATGTATATAGTAAATAAAAAAATAAAAAACATTCGTTGAGTATGTTGACGAAGAACAGACTAGAGGATATTTTGACGTCGCCATAAATTGGTGTATTTGCACAAAATAATGGTTATAACTGTATGGTGATTATGGAGATTTACGATTCATTTATGCCAAATTTTGGTACTTTTTGATACCCCTAGTTACGTCGATGCTTCCTCGGTTCACTTGGATACGGTAGGTTACAAGTAGATTTTAAAATAATAAAATAGACTTGAAAGCAGTAATGTACATATACACATTGATTGGCCTAGAGTACTGCATTTAATCAACAGGAATCATCTATATATATTCTTCATTCAGGTCTTTTCTTTTGAAAAACAACTGTTAGTATGGCAGGAGTTATTTTCAGATTCAATACAAAGCCATATCATTTCATCCGACTGCACTGGAACACACATTATTTAAAAGGTATGTTATTAATAGGTATTGCATAGAGAAATTCCTCAGAACTATCTAGCCGATTTATACCCGAAGACAATGAATTGCATGATGTTCGGATGGCGCAGTGGAAAGCGCATTTGCCTTTCAGCAAGAACCGGGATTAGACTTCCCCTCCCATTTGCATCCGGGCTACAAAGAGTGACTTAAATCATGTAAGTATATGTTGGTTTTATAGTTTATGATGGTGTTATTTGGATGATCGAGACCTACCAGTCATTTACAGACATCAACACAGACGTTTGTTACTTACACCACAAAACAAGCATGACGAAAGCATATTATTGCATCTTGGACAAAAATCCAGAAATTATTAGTTTTAACATGTGCACTGTCACTCGACTTGGTAACCTCTGCTGTTCTTTCCAGGGTCACCATTGCATTTCGAAGTCCTGTTATGCTTCAAGCTAAACACTAAAGATTGCCACAGTAGTTTTTCATTCATACACTAGCCTCATCGTATTCATCAAGGATATCAAAATAGACACGTTGGTCTGGGAATCACCGCTGATCAGGTATTTCATTTGATTAGAGTGACGACAGTAAACAGTAATGGGATATCCAGGGTTCCAATACAGGCGTGGAGCTGTTGTGCATTGTTAAAGCTAATATGCATGTTAAATGAATCTAATTCGTCAGTTACGTTTTTGTATACATTTTTTTTCTTACAGAGAACGATAAAGTTGCACAAAGGCCCGTCGCTTTAAAACTTCAGCGACAGGCATCTTATAGTCCGAAATTGCCGAATGTGTTTGTAGGATGATGAGAGTTGCCTCCCTTCCGTCAGTTGAAAACTTAGCGGTACCGTCTCCGGTACTCAAAGGTGTTGCGAATTCTTCATGAACTTTTAAGTGTAATATTGTAGAAAGTCTATGACTGTGTACCTGGTATGTAATAAACTAAATGTATTCATAATTTTTATGCATAACCAAAATTCAACGAAATTTATCAAAATATTTTCCTAACACACCTAGTATCTGCCACTTGATAGTTTGAAACACAGAGTTGACAAGTCTTGGAATGAACAAATAAATAATAACAGATTTCAATCAAAAGATCATTACGCTCGTACCAACCGGAAAAGAAAAATGGGGTGGTCAGGTGACTTAGTAGCTAGCTTTTACAATGAACCAAGACGGCCAGGGTTCCATTCCCAGATCAAACGTGTAAGAGTATTTGCAATAGGTAATTTGCCTGACAACGTGAGATTTTCTCCAGGTACTCCGGTTATCTCCAATTAAGACCGCCTGCGCTACCATTAGAGCCAACAAGGGAATGATAAATACAAAAATAGGATAAAAAATTCACAGCTGTTGAGAAATAAATAAAATTTAATTATTAAACAGAAAAATATACAATATATATAACGTTAACAATTGTAGCAAAGAGGATCAGGAACTGTTGCACGGAAATAACATTAAGTAACATTCCGTTAGTAACACTTTGTTGCTACAGGACTAAACTATCTAAAAAATAATTTACCATAGACTTGATTCCGGCGTATGTAAGAGTATTTAGAGGAATATCTACTGAAAATGATAACATTTATTATCACATAATGTACTACTTTATCAGGTTAATATACCCATGTCATTTTTTTTTGCGTATTTACCCATGTAATATGACCTCTCAGCGTTGTGATTGGTTGTAAGCTTCAATTGTTTCAATTGTGACGTCACGCCAAGGACAAGTACATGACGTCACAGGCTTACGCACTGGAGTCAAAATGGCGGCTTTTTACATTTCAAGGTTGCATGAATATTGTCGTTTTACACGAATCTTGGTTTTGTGATAAAAAGGATCTTACACTCATATCATTTCATATGAAACTTATGAAACTCGTCACAAATTTTTATAAAACATAAAGGCGTTTTCTACAGGTGTTCGGGCCGCCACTAAAGGATAACTATAAAGTGTAGTCTCACTGAAATGTCAAAGCATGGACACAGCAGAAGACATACAAATGCAGACGACAACGTACGGGTGTGCAGGGGACCACGGATTAGTCACCCCATGCTATCATGCAGTGGAATAATCAAGTGTATGCTTTCTTCGAAATGCACATGCAGGTCTCCTCTTTGGGAAACATATTCGAATGTCTTGTGTAGATCTTAATAGCAGAGTTTAACTCTACGTTATATCGGTTATATTGTTAATAAGATTTATCCCTCATTTACAATAAAATAACAGAACAGAACTCAGCCGTGCTAACACCATCGTTATTGATACGTTATTATTGAACCCCGGAAAGATTTTGCGGACACTCATACACATTTTGCATACGCTTCACTGGTCAATTGTCTGATGAAGGTGACAGTGTACATATCGTACTAGTCATCGAAACGGCACATAGAAAATATTATTGGTTGTGTAAAAAGAACTTTTCATAATTCATACCTACCAACATGAAGAAAATGTTTAGAAAACTAATTGAAATCCGTGTGACAGAAAAATGAAATGAAAATTAACAAAAACCCCAAAACACTGATTCTCAAGGCTTTTCGCTGCGACACAGCTCTCCAGGAGAGTTATTTTATTTTCATATAGTCAATCTCCTCCTGAAGAGATGTCTAACAAAGAAAGGCATTTAATATCTATCTTAATGTTGTTATTAAGCTTTCGTGTGTGTGTATATATAAACCATCTACTATTCAAACTTCTTATGGCACACATCGTTCAAAGAATCCCCGAAAATCCGGTTGTCTCATTATCGAGCCAGTGTCTCAGGAGAGTTTTCATTTGGTCGAGGAAGAAGCGGTGGGTTTACATAGGTATTTCTTATTCCAGTCTCGTTTATTTTGGTTGGTTTTAATAAAGGAGACCAAGTGTCATTGTAATGTCTACAGAAATATCAGTCTATAAGGAATGGCGTGTCCATATATGATAGTCCCACCATTAGTCCTCCCTCGTCCGAGTTCACATTCTTAGTCCGTAACACGTGGCCAGTAACACTGTTATATATTTCTTTGTCCGCAGTGCTGTAACAGAGATGACAAGTACAATGAAACATGTCTAATCCGAACAACACTTGGTGAATTCAGCATCCTCAAAATTTCAAGGGTAATGCTCTATTATATTCTCTGCCACCCTGGAATGTGTCGTGACAATATCGAAGGCATACAGTAAGCTATTTATGAGCTAATTTATCATCCACTAGGTGGCACGTACTGAACTTTAGATTTCGTCATGACATATTGCAGGAATGCAAACAGCGAAAGCAAGCGTAACCTCTTTAATTTGGAGGATGTGAGTTAAGTGACATCCTCGATACTCTATGTGTTACGCTCACTTACGCTCTCTGCTCCCATGGTATATGTCGTGACAAAATCGAGGCTCAAGGTAAGCTATTAAATGGTTTCAGGTTAAAAAAACCCTGACCAATCAATCGTTAGGCTGGTATTTGTCCCTTGCAGATTACAGAGAATCGTCATCCAAGTCGGTTAAGTTTACCGCTACGCTAATGTACTATACTTCAGATGTACACCATCAGATACAATTTTGTTTAACTGTATCATCCACAAGGTGGCCCACATGTACTGAACTTGTGATTTCGTCGTGACATATTTCAGGGGTATAGATAACGTTAGCGAGCGAACCTTCGTAAGTATCGAGGGTGTCTCTTAATCCACACCCTTGATACTCCAGAGGTTAAGCTCAATTACGCTTTCTGCATCCGTTGAATATGGCAAAGCAACATTGAAGACGCGCGACTAGCTATTTGATTGGTATCAGGCAAAACAAAACCCGGACCAATCACAAGGCTGATACATGTCCTTTGAAAATAACAGAGGAACGTCACCCAACATAAAGCTAGTCAACTTTACCGTTACGCGACCGACATATTCGTTTGATGTACAACAAGGATACAACTTGTCTAATTGTAGCATCTACAAGGTGGCGCGTACTGAACTTAAGTTTTCGTCATGGCACATTGCAGGGGTGCAGAGAATGCAAGCAAGCGTAACCCCGGAATTTCGAGGATGTGAATTAAGAGATGTTTTGAACATCACATACTCATAAATATACGAGGTTAGGAAGATTGTCCATTGATATTTAGAAAGTCAATACAAAGCGAAAATTGTTAAACTAAACATGTAAGATGGGAAGCACTTTGTGTTCTTGCTGTTGACTACAACGGTACAATGTTTCTGTTAAAATTTGTTTAAAACAAATTGTATTTAATAATAATTAATAATAATAAATAATAATGTATATCACCATTTTCAAAGTGACTGATGTTTATTGAATGTTTCTGTGTGTCTGTTATAATATTTTTTTTAAATTATTATTTGTTTCGAAATAGCAGTTTACAAATCTAACCATGCCTTGTCGGACCACTTGTCTTGAGGGATTATTTACCGTGTCAGGAAAAATTGTATCACAATGAAGGTTTTTATTTTGCAGTACGTTTAGTGTCTCTACCTTGTCAGCTACTGAGCATAATCACTAGGAATATATAGAGGGAAAAGACTTATTTTAAAGAAATATTTCTATGCAAGAAGGCAAACATAGTAAATATGTTTTACTGCATCGTATGACCACTTCGTCCATTAAGGACCCAGTGTCATTCAGTGACATGCCTAGGGAATAGTAACCATTTCTGATGAATTTACTTATGCAAGACACACGATGTAGAACAAACGTATTTCATACAGGACCGCTTTACTGGTTCATGAACAACTGGGTTTTTTCTTTTTTAAAGACTTACTAGGAAGAGTATAAGTATGAGATAAATATGTTCAGTTTCATGTCAGCTATTGTTCGTGATTAAAATTTTAATTACATTATGGGTTAGTGGAGAAATATTTATCGCAAAATCACAATCAGCAACTGATACCTCCAACTGGAAATAGTCCATTGCTAGGATTTCACTTACATTTACATTTTACATAGCAGGTGTCGTCGATGACGTAGAAGACACCTATTGATTTACAGTTTTATTGACACACTGATATTCCATTTGTAATATCCGAATGCTATAAGTTTCTTTTTGTAATTTAGTATGTTATATGAAAGATAACTACTTTATTCAATGTTGTATTTTCAATATTGCCGTAGTCAATTTAATTAAAAACAATCACAGTAAGAATTTAAATACAATAGTAAATCATTATGTGTGTACGAACGACATGGAAACATAACCATTAGTATTATTCCCATAATCGTAAAACCTGTATTAAATACAATTTGTTTTAAGTTGCAGCTTTATTAAAAAATTGTGAACGTGTGAAATTACCGAGAATTGAAATATCCACTTACCCCATATAAACACCGAAGATACCAATTTCAGTGACCACAGTCTGGAGGCTGGCCTCTGATCCGGCTTTCAGAAGATAGCTTGTCTGAGGCCAAGGTAAGATCCTCTCCATCAAAATATATCTCGCCCGTTCCTCCAAATTCTTCATTTTTGACAGCAAACACTTAATGTCCTCCCCGTAAACGTTGTTACCTGTAGATAATTGACATTTCTTTCTTACTACTATGCGACCAAAATAGTTTGTGAATGCTACAAAACTACAGTATACATACATGTATCTAATCAGTCTGAAAAAGACCACAAATATACGTATGCCTATTATTAAGTGCGTCAGTTTTATTATTTATTTTTACTATTTATTCGTTTTATATTATTTTGTATCATATATTTATTGATGTATTTTATTTTTCTTTACTTAATAATTAAATAATTATAAATGTCTTCATTTATCTGTAAAATATTAGAAAATTACATATTTTTACGTGAACTTCTTTTCTTATTGTGTAATTCCTTTAAATATTTCTTTAGATTTTGAATTCAGAATTATTTTTATCAATACATGTTGAAAATCACTTGCTTTTCACGAATTCCAATCTTAGCGTGTGTTGTTCTTGCAGTATTTTCGTGATTTAACTCACTAAGCAAACAATGGCCGTGATGTGGAACAGTAAACATTTACTTTGTTTGGTTGGTTGCAAGTTTCGACTTCCAAAATGTTGAAATTGTTGCGTTCTTTATTAGTATTCCATGTGATTATGCCTTTTTATGTCAGATTAAACTTTCGCAAATGAATCATCCACTTGCGAATCAAAAGTGATCTTCAATGTATGTTAAGCTGTGTACTCTGATGGATATCTTAAAACCTGTTTTGAAATCAACAAGAAACCCATATATTTGGGGTTTGAGATGTAACTGCAAATAGCGAGGATGCAAGTATATCCCACAAGTTTTGTTTGAAATATAATACAGGACATTATCTCTGAATTTAAAGGCTTAGTCTAGATTTTAGGGATTCATCAATAATATAAAGCCTTGCAGAACATCAAGCCTTTCAATAATAAGGCGAAAACTTCTAAGCTACATGACCTACCTCCACCCTCCCTATTGGTTTTAAGGACGTATCTCTGAGGATCAGCAAATGCCTTCTCTATTGCGCCATCGCCATCTTCACCCTGCAAGGGTAAAACACAAGGGGAGAAATCCTCTAAATACTGAAAGTATCTTCAATAAGTCCACAATGTTGTTTTGTCTATAGAGACCATTTTAAATATTCTGACTAGTTTGAGATTTATTGTATAACCTCTATGATTACGTGTAGATCAAATGTGCATATAATGTCGGAAAGCTCAAATACATGGATATTGAGTTAAAATGTGCAAGAAACTTTCTTTTTAAATTAAAAAAAAGCAATAAAGTCTGTTATTAAAAAACTGTAAACTAATGTAAGAAGAGATTTGTGTATTGTTTTATAACATTTAGTCTGTGCAATCAAAAAAGGTGAAATACTTTCTTCAAACTAGTTTCTTCAAATACCTGTATACCTATATGCGGACATTTGTTTGATTATCAACAGACTGATAATACTATTTAGGTACTAATACACTTTATAAACTAATATTTTATCAATAGAGAACGTTCACTCTAATTAAAAATACTTTATTAAATCCAACAGATTTAAAGAGAATTAAGCAACCGGGAAAGCCTGTACAAGCCCTCTCTCCCTAGAGACACATTTCAAACAATAGCAGAACTTTGTCTCTATACCGTTCATACTTAAACTACCACACAATATCACCTAATTGTATTATGTAGAACAGAGTTTAAGAATGTAGAAATCATAAAAATTGAATACTTTTATTTTTATTTGAGCGAAAATAAACTTTACCAAGTCGATACTATATTGGTTTACGAAGGTCTCCCTGATGTCCCGTGCTATCCTATCGTCCTTAATAAACCTCTCCACGGCTCCAGGACGACAAAGCTCTTGCTGGATCTTCTTCGTCCCGGCTAAGTGGTACTGGATGGTTGGACACTTGATCGCTTTTGACCGCTCCATCATCAGGCGCGTGTCCCAATCCTGTCCAAAAGAGTTTAGACAAAAAGTGAAATTTAAATAAATAAATAAAAGGAATCCTCATGCTCTAGCTTTCGGTTTTTGGATCGACACCGACACTGGTGTTTGTTTTCGTATGCATTGTACACGCATATTATCGTGTTTTCGAAGACTTTATCCTTACTATAATAGAAAACATCGTATTGTATTGTATTTACCTAAATGTATTCTTTAGCTATCACGGTACACGCAATTCACTCTTTTTTGACATTGCATCCCCTTGATGCCCAATATCTACTTACCTTTTCTGATTTGTAATTCGCTGGAGAGTATCCTATACGGAAATACACGACGGCCACCTCACAATCATCTCTGGAACAACAGAAAAAGTCAAATGCAAAGACAGGACTTGAATTGTGAGAGGACGCATGAAAATGACAAGGTATCCAGAGACACGTGTTTAGCAAGGGCCTATACGACTAAATATGAAAAAGCAGGAGCCATATAAATAAAGACAAATAAAAAAAACATGAAAAGAGGTAGGGCCAGTTTTCAAAAAAATGTTTTTTGTATACACCTAAAACAGCACTTACATGGAGTCCTTCAAAAAATTGGGATCACATGACCTTAAAAGACGTATGAATAAACGGGGATTACAACAAAGAATGAGGTCATATAAAGTGCCAAAACAAGTGCTGTGAAAAGACTAATGTTCGTTGGTTTTTAATTTTGTTCATTTTGCTGGTTATCTTAATCTGAAGGAATTAGTTACAAGTTTGATATAAAGGGTTTTTTCATCATTTTAGGAGGTATTCCCTATCGACGAAATCATGTATCCACGAAAAAGTGTTTTGTCGGGAAACCACGAAATGTGTGCCCCATTACAATATCTGGTTTCACTGTACATAGACAGGTTTAAAGTAGCTGAAGTCTATAATGACATGTTTAAATGGGTAAAGAGAGGACCCAAAATTATATGTGCATAGACAGGGCATAAAAGACAGTGCCTGCAAAGTTGTGCGTTTAACTAGGCGTCTATACGTGTCCGGAAATAAGGCCTACCACGACATATGCACAGACAGGACATACAAAGTTATGCATATGTGCATATGCAAGGCCTCATACATAGACATGACATAAACAAGGACTACAAAGTCATTATATAAACAGGACACTGAAGTAAAACATGGAAAATGTTTTAAAATATCGTGTTAGTCATTGTATCTAGCGAATTACAGAGCTGTTAAACCTCTTTATGAAATACTTTGACTAACATGATCAATGCTTTGTCGCTTTTTCGGACATATCCTCGTTCATTCATTTCGTCAAATGTGACATATTTCACAGGAACAGATCTGTCAATCATAAACATTTCCAAGTCTAGTCGACGCTGGTCAAGCCTGTTCCGTTCTGGTTCTGACACCAAAAACAGCACACACGTTCTGGAATATGTATGAAAATAAAGTGTTATACTGCATTGAGCAGCAGATAGGGGTTTTTATGTTCCGTATAATGTTTCTCTATCTTTCTCCTCGCCAAGCAATATGTTTGTTATAATTGAAGGCACAACTGTATTTAAGGTCTCCTTGTTATGAGATTTTCAATTATTATTATAAGTCATGAATTATAATACATTTATTGCCAAGGTTGAAGGCAACACGCTATTTGTTTCTCCAAAATAAATTCATTTTTTTCACGAGGGCAGAGCACAACAAAGAATAATGTTTTCCTACTACAAGGGTAACACATAGTTCATTATGACGCAATAACACAAAAACATAAAAGTAAATGATCAGGTTGAAGCTCCATTGTTGTCGGCTTCCTCAGTCGGAAATCGGTTGTGGTTGCTCTTGACGATTTTTCAAGAGTGGCTTCGAACAAGGTAAATATGATCAGGGAAACTCAAGCGCATTCACTTTTTATAATATGGTATTAGTAATGCATCTGACCAAATAAATAATACTGTTCTTATACATGTTGACTTTAATATTAAATCATCAAAACGTTTCGTTACTTATACATGCTAGATAAATTCCAAATGAATATTCATGTATTATCATTATTATTATTATTCAGGCAAGTTTTGTTCTTTAGACAATGAGTATTACACATGAGCTAGTGTGGGTGTGGGTATGCATGTGTGTGAGAAGAAAACTAACAACATTCTATATATTTAATCATTGTGTATAGCTACCGGAAATAGAAGAAGACTGATATTGACATAGCCTGTTGTCTGATTCTTTTGTCAATACTGTACTAACATCTTCTTTAATGTATACAACTTATATGTTTGTATTATATATGTATTGTCAATAAAATACTTTTGATTTGAATTGAATTCACTTTTTATTATGTATTATTTATATATCTACTGCCATGGAGTACGCTGTTTGCACGTTTATAGTTTTAACTTTTTAAATGAGTTATCCTTGCAGCTTTTCCAAATATTTATTATTTTTCATTTTAACTTGTACTAATAACACCTCTTGATTCCGTAAGCCTTCCATCCTTCCACCAATCCTTGGGCCAGTCCATGAGCGGGATTGTTGTCGGGTACCTACAGCAAATAAGGTAATATCTTACCTATGGAATGCAATGACAATATAGTTGATTTAACGATTCTAAGCAAAAATGCAGAAAGAATGCGTTACATTATGACAATGATTAGGTCTGTTCTCTTTCTGTATTTTGCTTAGAACCGGTAAATCAACTTAATTGTCATTGTCTCGGGAGCACAAACACACACATACATTACACACATTGCGACACGTACTTAAATGACCCAAGCTGTTGATAGGACATTAAACAAAATAGAACCAAACCAAAAAGCTTTGGTCAGCCGTATGGTCTAGAATATATTCAAGAACTGGTGTTGATATATTTTAGGAACGAATTCGACCACTGTAATTGAAGTGACGTTTTACAAAATGTAATAATGTTTCTATCCTGAATTAACAATATAAATCAAACCAAAACACCTTAAAGAGGTTAACTAATATCCGAAGTGATTTCATGATCCCAGAACGATTGCCTGTGTGTTTTAGGATTGGCATTAGTGATATTCTGTCGAACAAATAACCCTGTCCCCGACGATATCTGTAAGGTCATATTTCATCGAACTCCTATTTTGTGACAAGAGACTTGCCAAAACGTCGTTTTAACCGAATGCCATATCAATGTCCAAACATTAATGACAATTATAAGGTTAAATGCAACATAACGTACCTGTGAATCATCAAACTGTTTTCCAGCCAGTGTTAGAGAATACCTGAGCAGAGAAACAAATACAACCCATGAAGATCTACACAAACAAGATGGACATATAACGTGAGGATGACTTTGATTTGAATTATTTCTTTTATTTTCCTTATCAGGGCCATATGTGAAAATTTAACCGAGAGAAGCAATACAGATACACATAACAAGGCCGAAGATAACGCAAAAATGTATTCTAATTTTAAATATCTTATATTTTCCTTAACAGTGTCATATGTTAAAAATAAGCTGAGATTAACTACAAATATATACATAACAAGGTGGAGAGATAACGCAATGATGTATATTATATTCTCCTTATCAGGGCCGGTATTTAGATGTTTGAATATGTTTTTTCTACTAGGCTTTAAAGATAGAATGGATAATGATCAGGACACAACTCTGACTTGGATAAACGTTTTTTGGATTGACACATCTCAAATCCTTAAAACAATTATTAAAACAATCGTTTAACGTGTACATATTCTGCAAATCAATATCTTTCGATCGATTTCACAGTTATTCTCGTTCTCAGCATGTTGTGTAGACATTCTGTGTACGTGAATATGACGTAATAAATAAGTGTAAGAAGAAATCATTGTCATGGTTATATCAAAACTGCATTCTGCTGTTTCGTCCTTACAGGACTTATCGGTGAATTCACGTACCGAAAAGTTGAGATCCAAATAGCTCAAAACTACAGTCGAACAGAAGGGGAGGTATGTTAAACCCCTTAATTATATGAATTATAAAAATTACAGTGGTACTGGTTAACGTTTTCAAATTAATAATATCGAGGAAAGTGTGTAAATCAATAACCGTGCTATAACTCAAATAAAGTGATTGTTGCCATTAAAGTTTAAAGCACAGTCTACAACATGGTACTGTCTATTGAAGGAATCACTAACGAATATCAAAAACTTTGATAGATCAAACATTGTCGTCCGTTACAAAACAAAGTTTTGTTACATACCGATGTACATTGTGCATGTGTGATACAAGACCAGCAGCACCAGATGCTATTGTGTTGAATTCAATCTGCTTCATCTGTAAACTGTCTGGTACCGTGGCTGAGGCCGTAGGGTCAACATAGGTCAAAGAGTCAACGGGGGTCTCTTGTTTAACATCCATCATATAATCATTTCGGAACAATCCAAGACTAATAGGCTGGGAAAAGAAAGAAAAAGCTTTAATTACCTACTATATGTAGATATAGCTGATGGCTTTGGTTTTTGGGCTTTCCGATTTGCCGCGACGACGAAACAAAGAGCTTTGTTTTATTTCTTATCGGCGCTTTGTCGCCTTTTCACCGTTCGTGGAAAAGCAAAAAGGTGTCATTTCATTTTAAATGAACAAATCGCTGTTTAAGAGAATAAAACGTCGCTTTTTCGCTTCGTCACCGCGACAAAACAAACAGGCAAAAATCATAAGTTGCCCTATTCAGCTTCTAGACATAAACCCCCAAAATACCCCATAGCAGCATTAAACTTATTCCCAATGCTAAAATACTGACATAGAGAGGAGCTGTTTGCATCACCTTGGCGTACACCGATTAATATGTCGAATCTTTCAGAGGCAATAGCGGCCATGTTTGTTCGGGTGATATTTCATAGGCGTCTGCTCAGTAGTTTCTGAGAAAAAGTCCAAAAATAATAACAAAAAGAAATGCGTGGTAATATTATAAAGAAGGAAAGAAGCAACAAATGAAGTCATCCACTAAGTTTGGGGGACTTAAGTAGCCTGAATGACGTCATATGAATATATAGATAAAAAGTATAATGGTTATTGCTGTAATCGTGTGAACATTCCGGGATGGTAGACATTAATTGGGACGCAGCCAGAGCATTCTGTATGAACACGAATTTCGTATGGCGTGTTACAAACACATTTCTAACGATACTAATTTGATCTTTTCAGTCAGTCACTTCAAAATTCTAAATATTATCGTACATGTACTTGTTGTCGACAAAGAAAGGCGATATTTCGAGATATCAACTCGAAGTTTGGACTTTTTTGTAAAATGAAAAAATACAGAAAAAGAAAAAAAGTTCACGTGACCGTTTAAGATCTTCCATCACACTAAAATATACTGTGATTCGCTGTTGATTCAAGCATAATAAAAAATGTATATCTTTTGAGTCTATGACAACTCACCTGGGTAGCACCTTCTTCGGTTACCACTTGTAAAATGTCCCACAATCGCTTGTTGAAGTCATCGACCTTTAAAACACTAACATGTTATGATGAAATTAAAACACGGATACTATATTACTCTAGCACATAAATGACAGGAATAATGAATGCACGAATATGTGATGCATTCATTATCATTTTTTTCAGTTAGCGGTGAGAGAGTTTTATTACCCATGAATCAAAAACCTAGCCGAGTTCTCAGAAACGTCTGTAAACCGTTTGGCGGAAGAAAAATGATAACAATAAAATAGCGTAATAATAAATAAGATAAACGTAGCATTATCAACAAGTCCCCACTTCGTTTGGAGGATTAAACTTACTGGAAGGCGTCACATGAACATCCAGATATATATCAGCCAATAATCTATCTGATAAGTATCTAGGAAGCAGGTTCTGAGAAAATGTCCGGAAACCATTTGGCGGTTTACTTTTTCATTTCGCAATGGAAGATTATTTCCCATGCGTTAAGAACTTCAAATTTAGCTTGAAAGAAATGTATCTATTACATAATTATTCAAACATAGGGCAAAACATTTCTATTTATTTGTTGGCTTCATTATTGTAAATTCTTTTTTGATACTTATCAACCTGAAGAAAATGGAAGATTATATACCTGTTGCATGAAAAGTTCTTTTGTACACAACCAATAAAATTTTCTATATTTTCAAAAGTGTAAAATGTGTAAGAGTTGTCCACTAAATCGATGTCGATTTCGGCTACGCTGTAAGCGTATGTACAATAGTGGTTACATATGTATCGGTTTAGAACTGGCCCACTGCGCGTATCCAAATGGCTTCCTTTATCTGCCGCTTGAACAGATCGCACTCTCTGTCCAAAACTTTGAAGTTATCCCAGTCAGTCACATTATTTTTCTGTGTGGCATGATCTTTGATTGCTGATTTATTTAACTGGGACTCCGACTGCTTCCTTTCTGATCTGGTGAAGTTCCTACCTTCTTGGGTTTCTGTATCTGTCCAGTTTTCACCAAGGCGGACCCCAAAACTCCTGCAAGTCTCTCCAATATACGACGCATCGCAGTTTTTGCATCCGATTATGTATACGCATTCTGCGACGTTTTATGCGACGTTTTATCCTTAGGGTGTACTAGGATATTGCGAAGTCATGTTCTGACTGACGACTTGGCTGACCAGGGAGTCAGTCCTCCGTCAGCTGTTTGTTAGAAAACTAAAACATAAATGCAGACTTGCTCCCTCAGCAGTTTCTGGAGTTACGACTTACTCCTGTGTCAGTTACTGTAACATCACTACGAACATGACCGAACCATTCAGGTGACAGACGAGTGTAGCTTGTACCGACCTGAGCTTTCCGAGTTGTTATCAAGACAAAAGATCAGAAAATATTAAAAAAGTATTAACTCTTTGACTTTCGGAAATAGCAGTAGGAATCATTTAAAAGTGTATATGCGTTTTGTTTTAAATAAAACAGCTTAAGCTATGAATTTTGAAATGTGTTCAGTTTAAGTTCCTATCAACCAGGCCTATCTCCCTTTCATTCGTATAATTGTACTTGATAATATAGAGATAATAATTTGACTTTATATTTTACCACTTACTGTGTAATCAGGTCAATGGAAGCTGTCATAAACAGGAAATATATCCTTATTAGAAATTGGAACTTTGAAAAGAAAGTATCCAATCCGTCTTTCATGTTACGATTTCGTCATCAATATGGCGCTTACTCCTTGGTGATGAAACATTGTTTTAATGAGATCAGAAGAACAGGAAAAAAAAAATAGTGGTCCATTTTAACATGTGTTCATATTGATTGTCAACGAATTGATTCAGGACAAATAAAAATATACTCACTTGCACAAACATTTTTGTAAGAATTCCATGTCTTGTGCCACCATGTGCATCAGTTTGTTGAAATGTGGTTGTATGGCCTTCACCTTGGTTAGAGCATCTCGTGGTACCAGCATCGGAAAAAGAGTTAACGGAGCATAGTGGGCTCTCTCTGAATGGCCTGGTGATTCTGCTGTTCGTATAAGTACACCTGTCAGCGTTACACAAGAAGACATCTCATTTTAATTATTTAATGATTATTCATGATAGACATTATTTATGATAGACAAGGATATTCTATATCTTTGAATTATACAGGACACAATCAACATAATTTTAAAATTGGTATTGCTGGATTATAAAAACAAGACAATTGGATAAACGTACCTTTTTTCAAAAGAACTGTGCATGGATATTGTTCGAATATATCTATTTCAACTTTGCTAAAGGTTTCAAGTTCTACTCAAGATGTGTAAAACGTAACTGGTATTAAACGGATCTGAAAATAGAGTTTAAACCAATCTATATGATGTTTATTTGTGGATAAAACTATTACCGGTCAACTTCCAACTCTTTCAAAAAGACACCCACGGAACCTGTAGCTCATCTCGTTACCGGCAATTGAACACACTGTTCGTTGATACAACATGTAATATCTATTATTCACGGATGTTCTATATTGAAACAATGTTAACATGTAGCAATGATACACAGGGAACGCTGCAAACACTTTTTTTCAATCAAACAAATTTGGTTCCATTGACAATAAAGTTTTGGGAAATGTTGATAAACACCACTTATCCGCAGTTACTGTTTTAACCTTACTGTGCATTACCAAACTGTCATATCTTCAATTTATTTAAGGATCCCATACTACAAAAAAATCAACAACAGCCTTCAAAGTGTAAAAGTACAATAGGCCCAGACCAGGACTCGAACCCACAGCCTAAGATCGCTTTGCTGTCGCATTTATCATTGATTCAGTATATTCCACTGAAATGACCAGCGGAAATAAAATTCTACTTTTTCTTATCCTATTTCTTCTGAGTCATTTTCTCGGTCTGAGGTCATGATAATACTTATTTTGACCTAAAGTTACATGGCGGATTTCGGCGATTAAGCAGACGACGCTTACCCTTCCGGACCACCTGGTCTTATCCTCCTTATACTTGTTACATTTGATCACATTTTGGCCTGGTTATAGCAATTATGAGATCGAAAAATGATTTTGCTGACACTTCGGTATTCTCAAATTTTCTGAACTACAATTGCCAACAAAGTTTTACCAGATTGTTTAAATCTTATTAATTATTTATCAAAACGACAAATATACTGATTTTTTTTCAATATACACAGTAAATTCCACTTTTACAAAAGTCGGATAGCGCAACGGATGGCACGACAGCCTTTTACCACGGCCGGGGTTTGACTGGCAACCGGACACAAAATAGTATGGGTCACCTGTCCGACGACGTAGGTGTTCTCCTCGTATTTCCCTCTCCCCATCCCAACCTAAACTAAAACTGCGGGACAAAAAAAAAGATGAAATAACGAAAAGATTATCAACATTATTGTTCTCAATGTGAAAATAAAGCGTGGTTAGAACAGGATTTGAACCTTAGACCTCAAATTGTATTCAATGGCTCTAACCGACTGACCTACCTAGTCAACGGCAGTGTTGTGATCCAACTGTGCTACAGTTATATCCAACATAAGGTTACTGTATATGGGGAAAACGACGCGCCTTGACACAAGGTCATAAGATCATTTCAAACGTCTGGCAAATGACTTAATGAAGTTGTGTTATACAAACCATGTAACATGGCATACTCCTTTGTTTTCTTGATGATTTCTTGGATCTTCCTTTCGTCTAGAGAAATGGAATCTAGCACTGTAGCCATTTTGTTAGGTTCACGAAGGACGTGTCAATTCATATCAGCAAATCTGGTGTCTGTGTAAAGAAAATAATGCATGTACATCAAAATACAAGACATTAGACAAGACCAATACCAATTAACAAATCTTTTTTTTAAAGCAACTGCTGGTAATATTCCGTATAATTGATTTGTTGCTATCCAAGAGAATATTGTTATCAGAAAATGTTTAAGGAACGCCTACGCCTAACATTTTACCCCAATTCAAAGTTAAGGATTCAAAACAGCAATGCACATTACATGCGCTATAACAGTGTGAAATAGAGAGATATCTCTTTGGAATAGACCAAGTAGTGACTTATATCTAGACCATCAACGGCAAGTAGTGACTTATATCTAGATCATCAAAGGCGGGATTTATCTTTAAAATAAGTTGTTTACCGGGCTCTACGTTACGGCAATGCTCACATTTTTATACCGCACTACAGGTAATCCAACAGGTATGTAGGATGGTTTGTTATTTGTTTGAGGTTCAACGTCCTCGCAACGCCGGGGTCATATTAGAACGGGTGCCCAGGGAATTTCTGCCCGAAATCGAAAGTAGATGGGAAAGAAAAAGACAGGAAAAGAGAAATATCCCAGATGTTGCAATGGGCGCAGCAGGTCAATTTATTTAATTGATTTTTATCCGTTCATCCTTCCATCCATTCATATTTAAATTTTCTGTGATATATTTGACAAAGAAAGGGCAATTGAAGATAGCGCAAAGTTAATGAACGCCATAGATGTGCCAGATCAAATATTTCTTTGTTTTTGCAATGCAATATCCTATTATTGTTATAAAAAAAGTTATTAATTTTGTTTGTTTGATTGCTTTGTTTGGGGTTTAACGTCCTTGCAACACCAAGGGTTATGTGAGGGCGGATGCCTAGGGAAACACCACAGCAGATCAAGTTAGGCCCCTTCCAATAAGATCAGTGTAATTTTGACACGTTTTCTTATTACATGAATAAATATTTTCAACTGATCCATCCATGAGCAATGTCTATGCAATATGTAACCTATCAAGTCAGCCGTGCTATCATACAAATATATGTATATTACTGCTGTACCCTATATACATACACTATTAAAATAACTTGTATTCATCGGGCTATAATATTAACACACTACCCGAATTGCTTGCATTCTGTCCGTCAGTCCCAACTGTAGTTCATGGGAAAAAGTGTTATATCAAGATTACTTTTATTAAGCAAGCATTAACGATCTTAATAAAGTTATCTAGTATAAAATAGGGATAAAACAAATCAGGGCAATTAATGGAGGATACACGTACAGGAACGTCATGTAAGTGCCTGCGACAATCAATGTAATTTAATCTGCGCAAACATCATTATCAGATTGGATGAAAATCGTTGAAAAATATATGCATGACTAATAAACAATGCATTATATATTGAGTTTGATGATAGTGTTAGTAAATGTCTTAATTTGTAATGAAAAACATATAAAAATGTTCATGTGCGAAAGATTGAAATGAAATATCATATTATAAAAATATTTATGTGCGAAAGATGTTGAATTTATCATGATCGATGAAATATTTCAGATAATAATCACAATATGTGAACACCTATTTACCATTAAAAAAAAAGAAGAGTTCTAGTTGTAACTGTTACCGTTACGAAAATCCCTCAATCTGCCTATGTAGTCGCAATCGCGAAGGATGATTAAGAAAAAAGTTCAAAGTCCAAAATATGCTTGCATATATGAATTTGCTCGTATGAAATTTCATTAGAATCCGGATAATAGTTCGTGAGAAAAACCCTGAAACCCATTTTTTAGGGAAGAAAAAAATAAGAAGAAGAATCGCAGCAAATTAATCAGTGCCCACTTCGTTTGGGGGAGTTAACAAGACATTAAATAAAAAAAGTATTTCATTACCACGACATTCAGACTCCGAATCCGTTCATCACCTTCAATCTTCTTAATAATATTCCAATTTTAGTCTGTCAGCTGTACATTAAAGTGTCCTGTGACGTTATAACTAACACTAATGTGCCGTGTTATGGTGGCTACATCAGTAGTCAACCATACGTATATCGGTATACACTATTAACTGTAGAAGTTGCCACGCTTTAACGACTATAGATCTGGCTATCGAGGTGGAAACATTCGGTTAACATCGAGTATGATATAAAAAAATAATAGTCGCATATCGCAAATGTTCGTAGTCATTAATAGCCAATATCGATATACGTACACAATCATCACTGTCTATCGCTATGGCTTTCAAGTAAGTACCGTTTTCCCTTGCAAATAAAATTTGTAAATTTTCGAGGGACTCTGTCTTCTTCTCAAGACACAAATATGAACAACTACTTATCACAACATAAAACTCGGTCACTAAAACGGTTTAAATTTCTGTGTTTATGTTGCGATATGAAACTGTTCGTGTTTGCTCATGCATACGAAAGAGAAATTTCGTCGCCAGAGAACGAGCAATCCTTAGAAGATATAAAATGTGACTAGTTACAGTTTTTGAACAGTGCAGTTGTCACTGGCGTAAAAAAACTATTTTTCGTTACGATAGCTTGCACAGTTTGAAAATCACTCTGTGTTTGAAATCATTCTACCTTTATATAGTTAGTCAGCGTAGTTGCCTTTACATACTTCCCAGACACTTAAGTGAATTTATGTTTTATATTTGAAATTTATTTCGGTTTAAATAAAATACGTACTACGAATTATAAACGTTATCTCATATAGCCATACAAAAACCTTTTTAAATCTGATTTGAAAAATGCGCCGTACACAGACACATTTTTAACACATACAAATTAGTTTAACGAATTCAGATTACATTTTGTCTTATCGTTTTTATTTCAAACGCAATTATTTCTGTATGACTTTGAATGTTAAGGTTCAACAAGCCCCCTAAAAGATGACGTAGTCAACTAAAATTCCAATCCCCTGGTAAGTCATGTTCTAAGACCTCAATTACAAATCGGAACTCACATATGTTATTTGTATATATTGAACTTGTACATTGGCCATACAAAAAATACATAGCCAGGTTAACGTAGTCAAAAAAAGGCATTAAGGCTGATGTGTTTATAAAAATAATTCACCGGACTTATAACATGTCAATCTCTTTTGCAACCCTACTGAGTGCTGGGAAATGACCCATAATCTTAAGTTTATTTATATACCTAGGTCATGCGGAGTTTTATTTCTCTTCTACTAACTGCTGAGAGGAATTCCGACCACAAATAAAGATAGATGTTGCCATGCGAAACCACTAAAATCATAATAAAATCTCCTGGTAATACATTTTAGCAAATTTTAAATAAGAAAACAATGGCTAAGTAACCTTGTTCGATTAATGAACTTGAGATAATGTGTCATTTGATAACATTATGTGATTATATGAATGCGCTAGACATGTTATAAACATTGAAGCTGAAACGTACAATAATGTTTACAACAAGTCTAGCTCTTTTATTACAATATTGAATGTTAAGGAAGGACATTTTATAAGAAGTTTAAGTAGTATTTATGGTCAAATGTCTATGGTTATACACACATATACCGTTAAAATATGTTACTCTGACGTTTTACTATGATTTTTGTACATTCCCATAGCAACAATCATCTACTTGTGAGGCCGGTATGCCTCTCCACATATAGTTAAAGAGAAATAAAGCCCCGCTTGACCTATGTATATAAATGATCTTCAAATAACATGTCATTTCGAAACATTCAGTTGGGTCACTTAGGAGATTGACATGTTATAAATCTGGTGAGCAACTTTTATCATTACATCAGCCTTAATGCCGTATTTTTGACTTCGTTGACCTGGTTATATACCTTTTTAATAGCTCATGTACAAGTTCAATGTATTTAAAATACATATATATATTCCGATTTGTGATAAGAATATTTGAATATGACTTGCCATGGGGTTGAAATTTAGGGTGACTATTACCTCTTTTAGGGGGCTTGTTGAACCTTAACAAGACGTGAAGATTTTTTATCAAATCAAACCCAAACCCGGACTTTTGATTAAATATTAATGTATTCCTTTTAAAAATAGAAGCCATCTAGGATATCAATACACAGGTGTAACGTATAAGTTCATCGACACAGCGGTCCCGACAATGTCGGCCGAAATGAGGCAATATACAAACATCCGAGTCGCAAGATTCAACAATATAATATATCAATAATAGGACAGGGAACACAATAAAACATCACATCCTATATTAGTTTTAAGGCGGATGAATACTTTGATCCACATTCAGTGGAAAGATGGCTTTATTCAAGAATGGTTTATGGTGGTCAACTACACTTACATGAAAATGTATTCAAAAGTATTATAAGTTAGTGTTCAAACCGTAATAAAATATATATATCGGTTCCTTTAATAATTTTAAATGGGTAAACGTCAGCAATGCGTTATAGAACTCCCGTAAAAGACGCCGGCTTTCACATCGTCAGATTGTTTGTTTGTGGTTTAAACTCCACGCAACCGCTAAGATCATGTATATAAACGCACCCCTAGAGAGATATCTATTATAGAAAAGATTAGGTTAGCGTGGAGGAAAGATTTAGATCCCCTGTGTTTTCATGGGGAAGCAAATCAATTTTTATCTATTCCATGTCTTTTAGCAGGATATACTAAAGAAACACCCCATACACCTGCCCGATTTATGCAGGAAGGTCTACATTAACATGCTCATAAGACATGCAATGCGATACCGCAGGCCTATTCCTTCTCTGAACCTGCCAGAGGGGGCATCGTCAGATAAATAAACAGGTGACGAAAGTGTTAATTGTGGACGGAGAATTGAGAGAAAGCCATTCACAAGATCAACAATTGTATATGCACACCGACACTGCTGATAAGAACGACAAATTTACTCGAGCGAATACAGTTATTTTATGCTGCATGTTGTTGATATTGACAAAGTGGTTTAGCTAATAAACGGTATAACTGTGAAAAAATGCTTTTACCAGGTAAAAATAATAATAACTTAATTTTTGACATATGATGGAATGAGTATAAGTTGTATCG